CTTCCCTTCCCCCTTCCCTTCCCCCTTCCCTTCCCCCTTCCCTTCCCTTCCCTTCCCTTCTTTTCTTTGTCTCGTTCTGTCACCCAGGTTGGACTGCAGTGGCACAATCTTGGCTTACGGCAGCCTCCACTTCCCGAGTTCAGGCGATTCTCCTACCTCAGCCTCCTGAGTAGCTGGGACTACAGATGCATGCCATCATGACTGGCTAATTTTTGTATTTTTAGTAGAGATAGGGTTTTACTATGTTGGTCAGGCTGGTCTTGAATTCCTGACCTCGAGTGATCCACGTGGCTCGGGCTCCCAAAGTGCTGGGATTACAGGCATGAGCCACCACCGCGCCTGGCTAAAATTTTGTTTAAAAAAAACCTCGCAGTATAGAGTGGTGATTTAGCTCAGATACTCCACAGTCAGGCTGTCTTGTTTAAATCCTGGACCCTGCCTCTTAGTTCTGTGATCTTGGAAAAATTATCTGTCCCTCAGTTCCTTCATCTATAAAATCAAACTAATAATAATGTGAAAGTCATAGGACTATTGTGAAAAGCATACATAACATTTGGTAAATTTTAGTGTTCACCAAATGTTAGCTGTAATAGCAAATTCTCTTAATGTGTTCTTGCATGTTTGGGGGTTGTTACTGCAGATTATTAATGTGACACAGGGCAAGAGAATGATAAACTTTAAGCTGTATGGTATTGAATAATAACCAAATGAAAGCTTATCAGAAGAAGAGATAAAGGCTTCTGAAATTATACCTCAATAGATATTTGTAATACAGATTTCATAAAGCTTTATTGAATAATGTCTATGTATCAGCCCTGGTGCCTTACTTTTTCTCATTTTATGTAATCTTTAGGTCAGCCCTTTGAGTTCAACTCCATTTTAGAGAAGAGAGTTGAAGCTTAGAGAAATTAAGAGATTGTCTAAGATCACGGAGATGGTAAATTGCAAAGGCAGAGTTCAAATGATCTCGTCTCTTTTTTTATAGTGAATGAGTTAGAAAATGATTCAGTTTCAGACACACACACATAGGCACATACACACACACACCACGTTTATTTTACATGTAACCTTTCAGAAGTGCAGATCAGTGGTCAGAAATTATGAAACTTTTAAAATTAAATTGGACCAGTTTATTTTGCAGTTTTAGGTTGAAGCAGGTTAAAAAATACTCTCACCCGGCAATCCATAATGTTCTATTCTATTGCTGTTTGTTGGGTCCTCTGATCAAGAAAATTGTTAGTGAGAGCACCATTCCAAAGAGAGAAGAGACCCCTTCTTTCACAATTAGAGTTTTTAAAGTCAATTTCACAATTAGACTTTTTAAGTCAATAACCAGGTTAACTCCAAAAGATTCAGGCAACTCTTAAAATTTGTCACTTCAGTTCAGTTCAGTATCACAAGAGTGGGAGTTGCTGGAATAAGTTTCTGCTTGATTTAAAGTTTATCTTTTTTACTTTAGGCTGTAAAACAGGGAATAGAAAACATCTTTTAGAATGTTTGATTCCAGTAAGATTTTAGTGAGCTTAGGAGAAAAGGAATGAACTGTATCCCTAATTATTAAGGGGGCTCAGAAATGTTTCCTCTTTTTTTTTTTTTTTCAATTGCAAAAATCAGGATTGGTGACTTCCAAGAACAAAAGCATATTTGCTTGGGGCTAGTGAGGTTTCTTCAAAGCAATTGGGTAAAGGGATCAAAGAACCATCAGGAAAAAAAATTGAGCTGAAAGTCAGCTAGCAGGCACCAAAAAGGTCATTTTGTGATTACATGTTTTTACAGCTTTATTGAGATATAATTGACATGTAATAAACTGTTCATAAAGTCTACAATTTACATTTTGATTTGCAAACCTTGTGAAGCCATTACCACAATCAAGATAATGAATACATCATGCCTCCAAATTTCCCCATGCCTCTTTGCAATCCTTCCCTCTTATTCCTCTTTGGGACACCCCTTTTCGATTCTCAAAAGACCACTGATCTGCTTTTGCCACTAGTG